CATTGCAAATTGAATAGCTATAACTTCGTTAATAGTTGTCCGAAATGAATAATTTTTATATAGTTTTTTATGGAATTTCACAACCATCAAAATCGTTAGAGCTGTTTTTGCGCTACAGTCTATAGAAAAACATGCTTTTAATTAATTGCGCAGCAGATATAACGTATGGAGCACCCAATTTCTGTCACAGGCATCAGTATTCAAAATCCTACAAAATAAAAAAAGAAGCAACAAAATTGGTTCAGTAGTTCCCGAGAAAATCTTGGCACAGACAGACAGACCAATGGCTAAAATGTATTTTTTGGAGTGGACTCTGAAAAATATAGATCCGTCTAAAACCGCATGTCGGAAATTTTAGCCGATTGCAATACTTTCGTTACCTAGTATAGGTAGGATAGTAATAAATTAAAACATGTGAAGAAAATAGAATACGCTGTATCATCGCTAATACTGGTTCAATTCCGATGACTTTTTTTTTTGGTAATTTAATTATCTTTCATAAGTTTTCTTAAAAATTTTGCCATAGAATATATACTTAGCGAGTTAGGCCCCAAAACATTTTTCTTTTCTTTCTAACCTTTTTTCCTGATTTTTTTTCCAGGAATTTAGTATATGTACGAAAATTGAAAGGGCAATTATTTTAACATTATAGAAAAGCTTCATCAAAATCGTAAGAGCCGTTTTCGTGCTACAGTCTATAGAAAAACATGTTTTTAATTTATTGCACAGCAGATATTGAGCATGGAGCACCCAATTTCTGTCACAGGCATCAGTAGTCAATATCCTACAAAATAAAAAAAGAAGCAACTGAATCGGTTCAGTAGTTCCCGAGAAAATCTTGGCATAGACAGACAGACGAATGGCTAAAAATATGTTTTTTGGACTCAGGGGGGCTCTGAAATGTGCAGATCCGTCGAAAACTGCATGTCAGAAATTTGACCCGATCGCAATACTTTCCTTACCTAGTATAGGTTTTATTTTATTTTTTCAATTGGTAAAAAAGGTTTTGTTAGATAAATAAATAAGTTTTAATCATTATCATATTATAACATTTTTGTAATAACCTTTCACTGTTTGTTTGAATATTTATAATTTATACTATGAATTTGCTGAATGACACATTTTCATGACTGACATACGTAAGTTTTCAATAACAAGATTTGAGGAATTTTCTAAAAAGTGAATATCTTCAGGTTACAAAAAAATTCTGAAAAGCCAGAAAACCAGGGATTGAATTTAAGAATTATATTTCTTTGGGGAATTAATAAATCATTTTCTAATTTGCATCCTCAATAACTCTTGATTTATTTGACAATAGATTAAAAATTATTTTTATTAATTATTATTGAACAATAAACTTTAAGTAAAATATAACTCTTATTTTTAATATAAATCCACAAAGTTAACAATTATATTTTATCTACCTATTTGATCTTAAATCCTTATTTATTGTTTCAAAATATGTTAAAACAAGTTAATTGCTTCTATTCTTACTAATGTTTATTTATCTCTTGCTTTAACTTGTCTTACTTTAATACTTTCCATAGTTTGTTTTTTGTCTTTATATTATTTTAATTTACCATTTGAAATTAAAATGTGCCAAAGTGAGACCTGTCAAAAATAACATTATTTGACTTGCGTTTGAATATGATTCAGAATATATATGATTGCATCCAAAAGTTCATTGTTTAATAAAATAAATTTTATTATTCAAATATTTTATTTTTACTTTGTCTGACTGCTAACAATAATTTTTAATTTAATCCCTATCATAAAAAGTAGCGATTCAACAACATCCTTTATGCCAACCCTTTTTCTATTAATTTTACATATTTACTTAATCCAGTCCTCTATTACTGCTGAGCGGTGTGAGGTTTCTTCCTATAGAGCCTAATCCAAGAATATCTATCATCAGCCCAACTGCCTTCTCCTCCTGTCAAAGGCCTCTTTAATTCCTTCTTCCCAGGTCTTTCTTGTGGCCACCTTCCCTCCAGCCCGACGTCGGGAATGGCCCTGACAATTCTGTCTTCATCCATTTGGGAAACATGCCCAAACAACCTTAGTTGGTTCTCTTGGATTATTTCTTTTGCAAGCCTCAGATCCAGGTTCTAGATTCTTCATACGATCTCTTCTTGTTTTCCCCTCTATTTTTTTTAAATAGCTTGGATTTGGCTTTTGTGGTTAGAAGTAAGGGTCCAAGACTCACTTTCATAAGTTAAAACAGGTAGGAAAGTATTTTTGAAAATAACCTTCTTATTGGTCTTTTTGAGGTTTCCTTCTTGTCCAAGAAGCCTGTCTTGCGGGAGTAGAAGCATCTTCCAGCCATTTTATCCTCTCCTTTATGTCTCCATCAACCCATCCATATTCGAGGTGAGCGCCAAGGTATTTAAAATCTCTCACTTGCTCCAGATAGATTCCACCCAGCCTAATGACCCAGTCCTCATAGCCTCCCCTTCTCCCGATCCTCATAAATTTTGTTGTGGAAACATTTATTTCCGTATTTATAGTCTGAAGCTCATCTTGAAGGATCTTCAGATTAAACTGTAGATTATTGCCAATACCACCATATTGTCGGCTAACACAAGTACCATATAGTAGACGCATTGAAGGTTCCTGTATCCTAGATGATATGGCCTCATTCTCTGTTTTGCTCGCTTCAGGACGGACTCCAGCACCAGGATGAACAAGAGATGGCTAAGCCTGCGGACCTGTCTGATTCCTTGCTCAGTTGGAAATTCCTCTGATGTATGATTGCCCATCCTGACAATATTTCTCTGTATTTTATACAGGCTTAAGATGGCTTTTCTCAGTCCTCTGTGAATGCCATATTCTTCCAGTGCTCGTGAGATAACTCATTTCTGCACCCTGTAAAATGCTCGATGTTTAGTTTTATAAAGCAAGCGAAGGCCTCTCTACTCTATTCTATAACCTTCTCGAATATTTCTCTCATCATGAATATCAGGTCCTATGTGCAGAATGGTCTATGAATATTTTCAGACGCCTCCGAGGGTTATCAGGGATCGAGGAGGAAGCAAGGTTAGAAACAAGAGGGTTCGGATGGTTCTGAAGTTTATTATGGAAGGATAGGTATCTGGATTGGGTCAATTCGAAAACATAAGGAACATTAAGGTCATTAAGGATGATTATATTAGTGACAAAGTAAGGAGCATTAAGGATTTTACAAAGGATTTTGGATTGTATGGATTGGATACGTGAGGAATTCGATGGCTTTGTGGACCCCCAAATCTCAACTCCGTAAGTCCAAATAGGTCTTATTGTAGTCATGTATATGAGTCTTTTGTAATTAACTGAAATCTTATAGCGTTTGTATAGTAAGTACTGAAGTAGTTGGAAACGTCGAGTGGTTTCTGGTCGTTTAAGTCTGGTATGAGGATTGCAAGTTAGACGTTTGTCCAAGTGGAAGAGTTAAGATTTGAAATTTATCTCTACTCAGTCAGTTGTCTCTCTTTTTCTTTTTTAAAATGAGAAACTAGGTTATTGGCCAATGTTGGATTCTCAGTTTAATTTCAGTAGGTAATTTCATCTTTTGGTTACAAGCTCCTCCATTGTCTCTAACTTATTTAAGAATTTCTATTTGAATTTCTTTTTATATATGTAAGTAACATTGGAGTTTTTTTTAGGGTTATACTCTTCAAAAGGTATTCATGCTTGTCCCGGAATAGAGAAATCTGCTAAAAGATTCATAATTATATTTTGAAATAAAAAATTCTTGATATATTAATATATATTAGTTTTGAAGCCATATATGAGAGGCTATGTAAACTAAGGGTCAAATGTAGATATAGAAATATATCTTTGTTTTCTGCATATGCCCCAACAGAAGATGCTGACAATGACAAAAAAAAAAATTATATGATATTCTGGGAGAAAACATTGAAAAAGTGCCCAAGTATGATTCCCTCATGCTGCTAGGGGACTTCAATGCAAAACTTGGGCGAAAAGAAGCACTAAAAAAACTCTGTGCAAGACACTTATTGTATAAAATAATAAGTGAGAATGGTACATTGTACAGTATTGGTTCCATGTGCAGAAATTAACAGATTTCGCATGAAAAGTGTTTTTCACCTTAAATGATACATTAAGGTACTTGGAGAGCACCCAGAAGAAATGTTAATTAGATCTCATCTTGACATCAACAAGACATTCAACAAACATCATAGATGTGGGAAGTATGAGAGGCTCTAACTGCGATTCAGACCACTTTTTGGTGATAGTAGCTTTCAGAGAGCCTTTATAGTTCTTCAAATCCATGATGGAAAATTCACTATACCACCACAGTGTTAATTTTTATAAAATTACAGAAATAATATATATGAATGGTGTCATATCAAAGACAGACATGTATCATTTATAAAAGTTGAGGAAAAGTCAATTATTTGTAACATAGCTTCAATTTAAACCAATTATGATTTTTTTCATGATTAAACTTAAACATTCTTTTATCAAATCATCAGGAACAATTTAAATTGAATCTATGAAACTAAAATTGGCTTTTTCTGAAAATGGCAGATGTCTGTTTTTGATATGACGGCACTCTCATATATATGTTACCCCAATAATTTGTTTTTTCTTTTCCCAAAAATGTCTACAAGCAGAACATTTTGCCATAGAACATTATTTTTAAACAAAGGCCACCGAACAGAGGAACAGCAGAATAAGACCATGGTCAAACATTAAGAAATACGATCAAGCTATGTGCTTATGAAAGTTATAATATTCTTTTTCTAGGAGCAATGTGTTATGCAGGCATGTATAACATCTCACTGGCACTAAAATCCATATTGCCATAACGGGCGCGGTAGGGATGTAAATAAATAAATAAAAATAAGATTTATTTTTAAAAAAATTTTAAGAATCTATAGTGTAGTTAAGAATGGTTAAATATTACAGAGAGGAACATTTTTTTTTTATTCAGTCGACTTTAATCGTTCTGATACTGAATTCAATTAAATTCTAATACAAGATTTTCTTTGGTTTAGCTGAATACGGTTCTACAAATGCGCTAACGAATTTATTTTGTGGAGCCGTTGCTGGGATGTTGGGCCAAACTAGTTCCTATCCACTGGACATTGTGAGAAGAAGAATGCAGACCTCAAATGTCACTGGTGGTCATTACCGAACTATTATTGGCACACTCCGCAGTGTTCTTAGGTTTGTATTTTCAACAAACACTGATTTCTTTGAACCAATACTTTAAAATACTTTATTGTGTTTTATTGTTTCTTTTATTCTCAGTAGTGTTGAAAGAAAATGACTGGGGGACATTAATACATTTTTAGTATGTAGTTGAAAAAGATAAATATCCTACATAACATTGGCTTCAGTATCAAAATTACTAATATTACAATACTTTCTATAGTTTTTTATTTATTTACTTAATAAATCATGTTAATTTGATTATCTATTTCTTTTATTTGTTTGTAAAATCAAATATACGAATATCAATACTCCCCGATCAATTTAACATTGTCTAAATCAGTAAATTTTATTCAAAGAAGTTTGAGGTTAATTCCGACTTAATACAGGATATTCTCTCTTGACAGTTTTATCTTACTACTACAACTAATGAAAGGTCTTGGTTAGGATACTTGAGGAAGCACTGTTTCATGACTAATCATTTTATAAGAGACTCCAGCATTTGCTCTCAACCTATAAGTTTCCTCCCTAAGTTAGTATATTCAATATTTCATTGAATTAAGTATAGCTGTGCTGATGAATGCCAGTAAAGTATTAGTTCTCAAGATAAAAATAGAACTGAGGGGTTAAATAAAAATTGAATTAACCACCTGATTTTTACATTATCTAAAATGAACAAACTTTTAAGAGGTAGTAAAATCAAAATTAATGGTGGGAAATGGTTTTTATTTTTCTATTGGGATAGATTTCTATTTTATGTTTCTATGGGGTTAAATTATTAATCTAAATAAAGGAGGAATTACTGAGAAGATAATTAGTGTTTAATTAAAAGTGTTAGATATAATCTTTTATTTAGCTTGCGTTTAATGGCACAATGCAAGTAGGCCAGATTCCTTTTCAGCCTTGACAAGAAATCTCAGTATACAAATATTATTAGATTATAACTTATAGCACCTGCGACTATCAAATTAAAAAAAAAGTTCTAATTGTCGGTAGTGTCTTTTGACATTTTCATTTCTCATGCAAAAACAAAAAAGCTAAATATACATATAAAAATGTATCCTAAAATATTATCTGCTGTAATTAACAATAATTTCTTGCAGGAAGTAATATAATCCTAATTTAATTAAGACTTGCTTTGCTTTGATTGAAATGACAAACATAAAAACTGTTTTCTGTTTTTGTTTTCAGAGAAGAAGGTTTTCATGGCATATTCAAAGGGCTCAGCATGAACTGGGTCAAAGGCCCTATTGCTGTTGGGATAAGTTTTGCCACTTATGATCACATCAGGGATAGCCTTAGGTCACTCCTCAAGTCCTGACCATACAATATCTGCTGATTCTATCCCTATGCAATTTGCTCTTAATAATTCTGCAACCCTTTTATTTTTTAGTTTTAATTTTCCGTCCCTTGTTAAAGTATTCGGTGTTTTATACATCTATGTGAACTTGGATACTATCCAATTTTAGCTGTTACAATTTTATGAAATGTTTTTATTTGTTGTATATTTTCAAAATCAATATAGTTTCAAGTGAATTTTATACAATGTGATTGTATAGATATATTGATCAAGATAATAAGTGTTTTAGTAATGTGTGGTAGAATCGTTGGTACACCATGTCTTGGTTTGGAACATGCTCTCTATTTTTGTTTTAACTACTATTTCAATGGACAGGTACATTTTCAGTTCTCACTAGCAATATTAAGAACTTTATTAAATACTCAGGCCTGTTAATATATAGCTTGATATCTAGTCATAAAATATAACTGTGTGGCACAGACTCACAGCTGTTATTCAATTATCTATGTGTATGTAGTATAATTTGTTTGGCACACAGTATTGTTAATTATTCCAACAACATTAAGTTATATCTGTTGTAATTGTAAATATTTTATCTCACTGAACATTGTTTTATTTTTTTAAATTTTATTTTAATGGAGTCAACATTCATGTGCAATATAATTTTTATTAATGTTAGAGATTGTAGATGTAAAATGTTATGCAATACAAGTCAGAGAGATGAAATTAAAGACTCTAATTCGTGCTTCCATAACTAATTATATATTTTCATAAATGATGAATGTATATTTGATTTTTAAAGTTGGAAATATTTATAAAATGTTATGTATATATGTATTAATATATTTATTGCTGTTTGTAAAATTAAATAATATTTTTAGAGATTATTTATTTTTATTTTAAACTAATTTTTATTAATTCAAAATAATTTATATGAATCAATATTTGACTGGTTAATTATTTATTTTATATTAAAATTTTACTTTAACAGATTAAAGTATGAGCACAAGTAAAATAATAAATACAGCCTCATGTGTTCAAAGCAATGTAATAATGAAAAAATTAACAACGAACATTACTTTTAATTCCTAAACTATCTTGAAGAAGGCAGTATTATGCTCATTAGGTAAGAGAAATGTTTAAGATGTCCCATAAACATATATTACAGAATCCCTCGATTTCAAAACAAGTATGTCACGAGGCACTTGAGTCATGTTTTCTATCATGGTATGTCAGCATTACATTGCATTACAGGTGTCAAAATTTAAAATTCTTGGTTTTCATTTCAGATAATTATTTATACAGGTATATGGGAATGAATAAAAACAGAAAATTAGATTTATAGTTTGTCTATTTGAAGCATGTACAGTAAAATGAATTGCTTTATATGGCTGTAAATACATTCCATAAAACCTGAGATTGAAAATTGAAAATAATGTAATAGTAGGTTGCTTTAAACACTACCCACAAACTGTCTGACAACAAACTATTTTCTGTCGAGCTTATGCTAATACTGAGTAGAATTTAACGTCTATAAACAGTTTTTTTTTTAATAACTATTTTATACATTTAACAAACAATAAAAATCAACAACTAGAGAGAATCAAAAGACAAAATTTGTGATTTGCTTTTGCCCCTACCACAAATGGGCTGTTCATTTACATATATATATTTTAAACCTTCTTTTCTTTACAAAAATCTACATTTTAATCTAAGAAATAGCAAGATTGTAATAAAAATATAATATTGGGCTAATTTACATCCTTACATGATATACGATATACAATTATAATTTTCATTTTTTAAAAATTTAATTTTACAAATAAATCTTCATAAGAATTATTTTATATGTAATGGATATTTGTTTTTCATTACATCAAAGTTATAAATAAAAAAAATTGTTGAGAGCAAACTAATATATAAAAATGAAACAATCTTCACACTTAATTCCTGTATTCGTTTCATTTCAATATGACGAGTTCTGATAAAATAATTTCAGATCTGGTACTTTTTAATTTTTAATGAAGGCATTTAATTAAAAAAAAGTTTATAAAATGGCTGTCCAGGATATATCAAATAGTTCGTATGTATTTTAAACTTAAAAATTTTTTTTTGCTAAATACATGAACTCGTCATATAAGAGTTCTTTTTTAATTTTTACCCTAAAAAATGGGGAGAAACATAATTTTTTAAATATTTCTCTCTCAATCACAGATTTGTTAGAAAAAAGTTTTAGTGAACACTTTTTTTTTCATATTTTTTTAATTTGTTTTTATTTTTTTTTTTTACATGAGTACCAAATTTTTATATTCAAAATTTGGCAATTATGTACAAAATGGAAAACTTATCGTATACTGATAGGGAGATAGAGGTATTTGGATTATTTACAAAATAATAACATATATGTACATACAATACCACCAATAAATTAATTACTGTGAACAATTGCACATTATGCCTTTTATACATGTATTCCAATGAGTATCATTTCAAAGGTGACAAATAAGAACTAAAAAAAAACAAAACAATAAAAAGCGTATTATTACAGCACAATAAGAGAGACTCTTCAGAAAAATAAGACTAGCACTTAGTTTGATTATTTGTCCAAAATGACAAATTAATATGACACTAATTATATAATATATAAAATCAGAGCATTGTGTATTAGAAAACTGGATTCATAGTCACATTGTAGTTTTGAGTTCAGTAAATGAAAATTATAAAGATCTACACAGCCATAATATAGTGCACAATACCAATAAGTTATATTATGAGATAACTCAATAAGAATTTGAACAATATACTTTTTTTTTTTTAATCTAATTTAGTTTATTAACATTAATAAAATTCTCATAAGATTCAGAAGAGAAGAAGAAGAAAAGGCATTAGCAATTCTTGTGGAAATCCTGAATTTACTAAAGGAAATAGAGAGGTAGAATAAGAGAAAAAAAAAGAAGTGAAAAATGAGTCTTGAAGAACATTTCTTAAGTTTCCTACTTAGATTAAATTTCATACTTTTTTCATTGAGGCCCAATTATTCTGAAGTATTGAAATACAAAGAAAATTAATTTAAAAAAAAACATGTTTCACAAAAATGATTATAAATTTCAGTTTAGGTGCTTTAATTTGAATTCGACATTCCAAATTTTAATATCTAAATAGAAGCATCTAAGTGTGTAATTAGAAATCCATCTGTTGGACATATTCAGAAAATCTAGAGATAAATCACAGCTGGACAGCAGTTATTAATAACGCAACGGTAGGATGCAAAATATTACAAAAATCTAGAAAATTCTTTATTAGAAATTTATAGATTATGAAGGGCTGCGAAATCTTTATAATGAACATATTATCATCAACTTGTTCTCAAAATATCTTAAAATTATGGTTATTTTCTCTTATTAATAACAAAAAATTATTTCAATTTCACAAATCAACAAACCAAGTTAAAGTTAAATTTTGTTTTCAGTCTTATAAATTTGCAAATTTGACATACTATTCAAGAGACATTTTACAAACAGTATTTTACAAATTAATGCAATCTCTGAACACTTCATTTTTATTGACACAAAACTATTAGCCAAATATTTTATATTTTTTTGTTTTGTGTTAAACAGTTAGATTTTCATATATAGTTGAGAAAAAGATGGGGTCTTGTCAATGTTTATAATAGACAATTTAAATTAAAAATATAATATAAATATTCACAGAATTTAATCAAAGAATGTTTTCAAAAACATACTTATGTTTAAGATCTAACATAAGTTAAACAAATTAAAGTTGACATAGTATAGAAATTTAAATTCCTTTTAGCTTTGCAAAGCTCCTAATGTGTTTGAACAATTTATTTAATTTATAAACATATAGTGCCATTAATAATCAAACAAAAATTAATTGAATTTACATTAATAGCATACAACAAATCTGCTAATTGTCACTATCATGGCGGATGGAGATTTGATGATAAAAAAAAAAAACTAACATTAGATTTAGTTCTGCTTACTTAATTTTTAACTATTAGAAAGATGACTGCATAACCATTTTTATTGATTTATTTTTTTAGTAATATTACTTATGTATCTAAATAATTGGATACATATATAAAAAATAAAACTAACAATAAAAGTTGGACCATCATTTATTAGCATTTTATGTTCAACATATCGGGAACTTTGAAGTTTGTTTATTATTTTTTTATTGCCACCAACAACACCCCATTAATACTAATTGTTTTACATTGAACAGGTTTGTGATGTATTTTATTTTTACTATGTACCTAATCCTTGGAATAGATATTTAACACACTTGTAATCCTGTTAAATACACATCTCCACAATATTACTGCACAACTGATACACTCCTCTTGAGTCAAACTTAATGGAATCAGTTCATGACTTCAAGTAGGGTGACTCAGGTTGACAGTCCCTGTTTGCCTTCTAATGGCTCGAAAGACTTGGGCACTTTGTGCTCAACGAACGGTCAGTGTTCGGGCGCAGGTGTCGTCACAGGTGGGGGTGGCACAGGAGGAGGAGGAGGTGGTGTAGTGCTTGGCACCTTGGCATCTTCGCTTAGGCAAGATTCGGATCCTTCTTCAGAGCTCTCTCCTCCACTGCTCAAGCACTTCTTAGTAACAGGGTTGGCAGGCTTTTCACCAGCTCCTGCTCCACCATCATGCTTCTTCCATTTCGTCCTTCGATTTTGAAACCAGATTTTCACCTAAAACAAGAAAATTTTGTTAATATTATTAATTTCTCAAGAATGGAAGAAAATTTTTATTTTTATAAAATAATTATGTTCACACTTATGTGGGACCTGGAAATTTAATTGTTATATTTGTATTGATAAACTATTATTTTATTAACTGAATGAAAGAGAAATTATGTAGAATAAATTACATGCACTGCAACCTTTTAATTTGATTTATCTAATATTAATCTTTGGCTAATATTAATCAGCCATAACCTTTCTACACAAAATAATAACCTATAATGGAATATTTAACCATTGCTCTTTCAAATCAGAACAGTAGACAGACAAAAATAAACTTTTCAAAAACTTAATTTAAGAGATGTCCAAATTCTAAGTTACACTTATGACCTCAATATAAAAAAAATAAACAACCGAAATTATAATAGCAGTAGACCAGAAAGCCTTGGGAGTGGTCTCCTGTAGGATCTGGCAGTAAATATTAAAAAGTTGTTCAATAAATGATTATTTACAAAGTGATGTTCATTAAGAGATTTGGGTTATCTAATTCTAAACATTGAAGTATGTTAATCCTGTATTTTATGAGGATTTATTCTTATAATTGTTTACCTTTTTTGAGATTTAAGTGTAACTTAAAAATGTTTTGATAGGTAAATGCACAATGGAGGTTCCTCGAAATGCACTTTTATGTAGGGATGTAAATATGGAAAGAATACATTAATACAAATTGTATCGACATTTTACAGATAAATGAGAATTTCATTAATAATTACTGAAACCTATACAAAACATTTACGATATCAATATAAACAAAAAAAGAAACTTATTAATAATTGTAAAATATAAAAAAGTATACATATAAATATTTATTTTTGTAAATATCTGTTTTCAATATTTAAAACAATATTTATTTACTTCCAGCCTTGTCCTGCTTTTTAGGCTGTATGAGTATTTACAGTAGTGGGATGTTTTTTACCTGCATAGCAGCCCACCTCTGTAATTAAAACAATTTACATCGGTCGAAAATATCAATGGGATATTTTTTATTTACTGAGATATTTTTCCAATATCCCTATTTTAATCATCTCATTTTTATGGAGAACCCCCCCTTTTGCTTGGAGCAGTATTACAAATCGCTGGTAGGTTCACCTTTTCTCTAAATCATGTTGTTGATGGTCGCCATATAATTCAATTTTTAACTTAGTGGTCCACAAACTACTCCAAATTGGGAACTAGTACACTTTGTAGTAGTTTTTCTCAAATTTGGCCACTGTTAGCAAATGTATCGGCATAAAAGTGTTTGTAATGAAGGTAGTCAACAAATCGCTTTTGATATTCAAAGATCTTTGTATCCATAAAAGTAAGTAAAGTTCAGAGGAGACAAAAGAACTTTATCTAAACAAAATCAGCATCGGTGTCATCAAGATAGTCAATGTTGGGCAGACAAACATGGTAAAGATAGAAAAAAAAAAATATCCCATATAAAAATTCAATGGTACAAGAAGAGTTTGTGACAAATTAAAAGGTGGGTGAAGGCACAGAGGAAAGTTTGATGTGGTTGATAAGAGGAGTAGTAAATATGTTTTTTACGAAAGGTACACTCTTTTAAAAATGTATACAACACTACATTATTTGAAAAACTTTAATTGATTGTTTAGGTTTATTAATTGGCTTGATAATCTTTAATCCTTTATTAAGATATCTAATTAAAAAAATTAACGTCCGTAATTCTAATTGACAGAAGTTTAAGTTAGGTTCAAATAATTATATTTTCTCAGTTTTAATTTATTCAAATGATGAAGGCTTAATTTTAGAGCATAAAGAATTGTGGAGCGTGCACCTGTTGACATACCATAATTGAAATATAACATTACAATATTGATATTGGCTACCATAGTTAATGGGTTTAGTAAGAAATGAACCATAAAAGTTTAATTAGCACTACGGCGACTAGTAAATATTCTATGGATAGACTGAAGCGTATATGGAAGAACTGAGCTTAGACTGATCTTCCGGATTCGGTTTTTGATGTTGGTTCATTGGATGGAGGTGTGAAGACAAAGATTAGTGGTAACAGCATCGAACCTTCGAGTTCTGCAAACCTTTAAGTATTTAATTTACTATCATAGGTTTTTTTTCTATTAAATCTAATGTTTGTATAGCCAGGACTAGGAACCATTAAGGTTGGAGGAGGAAGAACAATCAAGAAAGAGAAGAGCGGTTCATCATTATCGATATGAGAGGGACAGAGAATCGATAGCTGCGGGCAGGGGATTTACCTCTCCCCACCCCTCCCCCTGCCGGTAGATAATTAGAGGAGGGTGTTACAAAGCCGGGGCAATTAGTGAAGGGGGCGCCGCCGGATGTTTTCGGCTCGGCCAGTAGCTGCTTAATTAGTTCACTTCTCTCTTTTATATCATTTACAGGTCCCGCCATTTTTGGAAAATTAAATAGCTCCGTACTCCCGCCTTTAAATCCACTTTTTTTCTCTCCTTTTTTTATTTTGCTTTTGTTTTATTTTGTAAATAGGTTCCCGAACCGCGTAACCTCCAGTCGGCGTCTCTTTTATCCCTCCTCGTATCGGAGGGGAGTTTTTTCTTCTAATTTGTTATCTCTTTATCTTTATGAATTTTTTTATTCGAAAAAATGTTTCGCTCCGTTAGACACTCCACAGTTTTTCTTTTATATATTCTTTGAGAAGCTTAGTTTCAACTTCAGTCGGCGAGTTACCCTGGTTATTTGCACACTCTCTCTTAATCGTTGCCTCTTTGCCTTCCGGTCTTTTATAGATAAAATTAAAAAAAGACAAACATACACGTAGTCAGAGGAACTGTAAAAATACCATTAAAATAAAATTGAAAGTGCTTTACATCCATTTTGGAAAGCTTTGAGATATTAGGTATTTCCTTTAAAACAAATATAAAATTTGTAACATTATTTCAATCAGAAAATAAATCGAATAGACGTTAAAGAAACAAAACATTTCGTTAAAAAACAAATTTAGTGATAACAATAAGGTATATATTTTTCTAGATTTTAAGGCAGTAAAAATATGAAACAATTTGTTGTCTCATATCTCAAATCAACTTTGACCGTGTTGGTATATTTTAATATATTCTTTGTACCATAAAACTATTTGGAGTTGACCAGTTGAATGCCCAGAGAGTTATGAAAGATTTTCATTAACTATAAACAAAATTATAAGCTGAATATTATAGAAATTTCTGGTCTATTTTTATTCTTTTAAATATACTAATTAGCTGAAATAGATTAAAAAATGTTAATTAGCTGAAATATACATGAAAAAAATGGAAACTTTTGACAAGTGTTGATTTTAGAGTTTTTAGTATTAGTGTAGAAAAACAAATGTTAACCACAATCCCGACTTACAATTAGTTCCAGAAATAACTGAGTAAAAGTGTCTCAAGAAATTAATGTCAGCTTTCTTAAAAAAATATACCAGTGTCAAACTTCAAATTAAATTTTTTGTGATCTGTAAACAGTTGTCTCATATCTCAAATCAACTTCGACCGTGTTATTTCCAATTGTTTGGTATATTTTAATATCTTCTCGGTATTACTTATCACTAGGGACTGGATTTGTAAGTAAAATATAAAACTAAATATGCAATTATATTTTCAACAATATTTCACAATTTATTGATTAATAATTTTACCTATAAGCTATATGTGATAAGTACAATTACTTGTTCCTTTTTAAAATTATAACGCGCGTATTTCACTTTCTAAACGAAAGGACGTATAAATAAAAATTTAAAAAAAAATAATCAATCTTTAAAATTATATCCTGAATCCACTTTTTCTCCAAATATATAAAATACAAGAAACTTTATTTGCTTTCGGGTGTAAGATAGTTCAAAAAAAAAAAATATATATATATCTATATACACATATGTGTATGTGTAGATACATGTACTACATATATAAATAACATAAATATACTAATGAACTTAATTAACTCGCCTTAGAGTGGTTGATATGCTAATTATAAAATCATATGAGTTAAATACAAATCCAAACTTTAAAAAAATGAAATCTGCTAATAGAAAAAAAAATAGAATAGAAGATTGAGAGGAAAGGAAGATAAATCAACATTCAGCTACAAGAAAAGGAGCGATAAAACAGGACAAAAGATGGCTTCGATAACCAAAATATCAGTAAACGAAAGTCATTCGTCCTGACTAATTACCATTATTAAAAAAACAAAAATAAATAACTAATAACAAATAACTAAAAATAAAATAACACCCTCCTACCATAAAATAAATTAGTACTATATCAGATACTGGAGAAAGTTACTGATCACATCAATTCTCCAGACATTACTATAATTTTTCCTTACCAGCAATAAACAACAATTTTAAATAAATAAATAATATACAGTCGGGTTAGAGTAATAATGATGGTAGGATGTGGAGCAGCACCATTTAAATCGAGTTGAAGACCTCTCAATATTGCTTCCGGCCTGTTTCACCACCTCACCCCCTCCCCACCACTCCCTCTTCTATCCCAACATAACTAACCTCTCCTTCCGGCTATAATTTCAATTTCGCTGAATCCTTCTGCTGAGATTTGATGTAATGGGAGAGGGGAGGTCTACATGCATTAAATGCTTGGGATGGATTGTCTGATTTTAGAGATTCAATAACAACTGATCTTATCCTGGGTATTTTCAGCAGTTTATGCACGTAATAATGACTCTGTTAGTTAAAACAAAACAACAATGAAACTTAAGCAAAAGAAAAATTGTAAAAAAAAAGTTTTCGAGAACATTTTCGAGGTCCAATAAATGTATATAATTGCAATTATAATTTTATGATATATGCCTGGTCTTGAAGCAAACCATCCATTTCTTTACCCTGGTATGAATTAAAACTCTTGATTTTTTTGCGGCACATAGGAAAATAAATAAAGTAAAAAAAAGTTTTCAAAATGATCACGTCTTTAAAAAAAAAAAACCGTATTTCATAGAATCATTCTTCAAAGTAATT